GCTAAAAGGAGACCTCCAAGTAGCGTGTTAAATATTGGTGATTTTGAATAACATATCAATGTCCAATATTTATTTGATGGGATGTATCTTTCATTCCCGACGAGATAAGAAAACAAGGAAAGTCTTGGAATGAGGTGAAGGCCTTAGCGCAAAATAGAACCCGATGGCGCGTTTTCACTGAAGCTCTATGCTCCACTTAGGAGTTCAAGAACCTTATATATATATATATATATATATATATATATATATATATATATATATATATATATATATATATCTTTCATTCCCTCTTTCTTCCATCTATTTCCTACGAAGTACAGGGATTGTTCAAATACGTTTGAAAGATTGACGCGTGTTATTTATACTTTAACTTGATTACCGGTAAATGTAATATTGAACTGCCCTTATAAATCGAGTCGGAGAGAAATGTTTCAACTGACTTTATAAATACTATAACTGAATTAGCTTCTGCTGACTTCGAATTCAATATGACAGCAACTTGGACCATAGGGGGAAATATGTAGAGAGTATACAGAATTATGGAGGAATATGAAAATCATATTAATAATTATCTATAACGTTTTTGAGACGCCTAGTAATATTTGATTGAAAACTAATTAATCATTTTATTTGTTGTAAACTAGAAAGAGACATGGTATTTTCCGGAATAACCAAACAAATGTTTAGACGTGAAAAAAATTTTTAAAAACAAGAGGATTTTATAATTTTTAAATTATAATATTTGCTTGAATGTTATTCATTTGACATATTGTAGTATCCTGTTTATTCATAAATTTTAATTTAAAACTAGTTTATACTTTATACATCGTTTTGTTTTACAATCTTATCGCATGTCAAGCAAAGTCTCATTTGTCTTTGTCAGTCTTAATTTTTGCTAAATTTGACGACAACAGCGAGCTGAAACATATGATGTTGATAAGATAAAGATTTTATGTGTATTTAATTTCATATTCAGGAGATTAAAAATAATTATTTAACAAAATGTAAATAATTATTTTTTGATATCGGGTACAATAAATTAGTTACGTAATAACCAATGGAACATGTAAATATCTTTCATATCCTGACCATTTCATAGTGTGTGTTTGATAGATCCTAGAAATTGAATTTTTCTCCTCATAATTTTATACATTTTTTATAAGCAATATAATTTTTATAAGCAATAGAACTCGACACACTGCACTCTTTCATATTCCTTTTCATAGGACTGATTATGCTCGTCATTTTCCCCTGTCAAGAATGCTCAGCTCTTGCAATGACCTCCTATTGGATCCTTTCTGCATAAACATTAATGCTTTTAAAAGGCAACTTAAGAATCTGACTATTAATCTGGATATGTGATACTTACTATGTGATACTGATACTTTTTTAAAATTTTTGTGATATGATATATCGTTTTAATGTACAAATTTTAACTGTTTACTTGTATCTCTGATATTGTTTTGATGTTTATTGTACATGATCTTTACTTTTTACTATTTTTTGTATTTTATTGTAAATGGTTCTACCGTTGGAATGAATAAATAAATAAATAAATAAATATATACACACAACAAAACTTATATGGAATCACCATGTATTTCAAACTAATATTTATTTCCGTAAACTAATTTTTTCGAAACCAATTCAGCTTTCTGCTTTAATTTGTGCCTTCTAAGAATTGCAAGGCAAATAGACGTTGATAAAGATGTTATTAGAGACATGGGGAATCTAAAATTGCATTCCACAACATATCTCCTCAACTAAGCAAAAATACCTAGTGATTTGGTTTCTAGTATTCGCAAAGAGTATACCGGAATAAAAGGAAAAGACAGTTAAGATTTGATTTCACGTATAGTGCGTCTGTGTATCCGCTTATACGTATTTCGCCCTAAAAGGGCTCTTCAGAGACTTATTTCTCACCTAAAAGATTTATTTTCACGTTCAGAGCGACTGTGAATAGCCGCTCTGAAGAACCCTTTTAGGGCGAAAACTTTCGCTTTCAAAAAGGAAAATATGCATGATGTGGGGTTAACGGATGTGCAAAGGGGAAAGATTATTGGTCTTGTAGAGCAATGAATGTCTCAGAGGGACATAGCTACAGTGGTAAACACAGGGCGTTGTATCAAAAACCTATGCTAGGTATCAGGAGTTAGGAACGCCTAAGAATAGACCAAAATAAAGTTGCCAAAAAGTAACAACGGCTTGCCAAGATCGATTTATTGTCAAAGTAGCTAGAAGAGACTCAACAATTTTTCACCCGCAACTCCAAAAGCAGCTTTTGAAAGGTACGGGCGTAAGTATATTACGGATTCTACACCAAATTCTATAGTCTCCTCATGCTTCTTGTTCCCATTTTAATGGACACTTTACAAATAATTTCAATTTTATTATTTAAGAATTGATGGGTTTCTTTAATTTTTATGTATTGGTGATTAAATTGCGTTAAAATAAACATTCTCTGACTTTCTAGGTTGGTTTTTTTAAACTCGCTTAAAATAATAAGAAATAAATGATGATTCCATATAAGTTTGGTTGTGAGTATATTGTCCATGTCTCTTCTATATTTATAAGAGGCATTTTTGAAAAAATGAACCATTTATATCTCTAGAAGTTCCCCTCTTTCTTTTTCACGATAATGTTTACTGCTGCTTTATCATTAACGATAAAGAAACAAATTGCTACCTGGTGAAATATACAAATGATAACGCTACTCTGGTTCATGGTGCAACAGAAATATTGCAATCATTATTTCTAAGCTCCATCACAAGCAAATGTCAGCTACTAGTTAATCACAAAATAAAAGACACTTCACCTAACGTTACTATATCTAATATAGTCATAAAACCAGAAAACTATATAAAATATTTCGGAATAATAAAACTGATACTTAAAAACATACCAAACTATTAAACACAAAGTTATTACACATGCTACGCACTTAAGAGGGTTAACTTACAAGATCCTAGGCCTTTATAATAAAACGGCTGCAAACATATAAATATATCTCCACACAAAATATTGGAGTATGGGAGTATCTTATTTAGTACATGCAGACAAACAACTCTGAATAAATGTGGATGATGATGAGAGAAACAGGATAGTAACTAAAAGAAGATCACTTTAAAATCCCTCAAATACACACCTATGGGAAAGAGCTAGAGTTCAACCAATCTTGGATTATTTGTAACGCATACAAATGAAAATGGAGATAACCTACATTAACTGTTGGAGAAATAATACAGCATCATAGACAATAACAATATATTACAGTGCAGTCTTAGAGTAAGGATTCCCGCCTGTATAGAATTATGTAAGTTTGTGTGGGTTAATACTGCACTTTGATAGTATTGGAGGAATGTTGGCTAAATCGAGCAGAACAAGATGCTAATAGAAAAAGTCTTCAGGCATCAAATGTCCGAAAAAATTTTCAGGCTATAATAATATTGAAAAGACCTTCTCCCATGTAACAAAAAATATACTGAAATGATGGCAACTCCAGAAGTAAAATTTTCTGGAAGCAAACAGAGCTTCTAATAACCAAGTAAATATTTATTAAGAATCCTATAACAATGAGGAACAGGAAACAGCCTTTGGAAGTCATATCTTTGAATGTGTTGACAGCTTCACATACCTTGACTTCATAGTGACTACCACCAACAAAACAAGTGAAGAAATTAAAAGATGAATAAACCTTACAAATAGAGTATACTATGGGCTCCAAAAAATAATTCCATACAAAAAATATCCAAAGAAGAACTATTTTATTATATATAGAAATTATTACATACAAAACACTGCTGAGGCCGGTTCTCACATATGTGGTGGAAACATGGCCTATCCCGGCACCAACAAAATTTTCAATTTTTAACTGAGCTGCCACTGTGCTTCGGAGGGTATGTAAAGCCGTCGGTCCCGGCTATGAAAGTAGTCGTTAAGTCATGTTAGGGGTGCTTGTGCTGTTTGCCTAGTGCCCTAACACTAGACCTTAGCCAGAAGGTTACACAAACTTTACTCTTTTATGGACTATAAGGCAGAAAGATTAAAGACTTTTGGGAATATTCAAGTGTAAAATACTCCACGAAAAATGAAGTAGAGATCAAAAGATATAATTTCGAATTATAACAACTCTTTAATAAACCAGATGTTGTAATGTTCATTAAAACACAGTGACAAATGGGCTGGACACATAATATGAATGCCAGACAATACAATTGCTAAGAAACTAATGACAGAAAAAACTATAGGAAGAAGAAGCAGAGGCTGACTGCAAATTAAGTGATTAGATGGAGTTGAGACTGAATTAGAGATACTAAAAATCAAGATATGGCAACACATTGCATAGGTTGGTTTAGGTTACATTTAATATGAATGGGTGCTCATAGACATATATAACAAATAGACTCACTGCAATGAAGGCCCATTCCTCCAGTGTGACAGAGAAAACTGATGCAAAGCAGTCCCTGCATCTTTCTAATGGACAGGGTTTATCTACCATGTGACCTCCCATTGGTCGTTTAGGTCACATGGTCGATAAATGTGGCCTATTAGAAAGAGAACTGCTTTGTGTCAGCTTTCTCTGTCATACTAAGGAAACAGTGGATTGCAACAGTCAGTTATATGTCTATGTGGGTGCTTAATCACCACTCTTAGGTTAGCAATACCTGGCATATACTTATGAGAGGCCTCTGTTAGGATAAAACATCCTGTAACTGTTACCTAAACCAGTAAAAATATTTTTGAAAAGCAACAAAGAAACTGTACATGATTCCAAAAGAGTAATAAAAACAAAAAAAAACTAAATAAAGCAGAAACATACATAATAACGTAACCATATAGGTACTGATTTCAGAATTTATTCTAAGTCTTTTTATCTATATTCTGATTTTTTAAGCCTACCCACTCTTCTGGTAGAGAAGAAATTAAGAAATTTATACCCAAGTAATAAAATAATATGTATAGAAGAAAAAGAGTTTTTAAACAATTTATAAAAAGGATATCAATGGTGTCTTCCAAATCTTCCAAATCCCACTCTATGCTTCTCAGGGAGTTTTTTAATTCCGTGTTGGTCCATTCAACTTCATCCTTTGTACAACAGATACCATCTTCTTGTAGCTCACTCCATCGAAGAAACAAACCTCGTGTTTTGTTTAAGGCTTTAAAAACCTCGCTTTAAAACAAAAAGTAATTATTAGTCATTCACAATGTATTTACAATGTACATTATGGACTAAACAAGGCTTAGGCCAAACTATGTGTTCTATAAGATTTAGTTAAAACTAATATATTAGCACTTTATATTAGTCATCAGCACTTCTTATCTTATATATTAATAGTTTATCTTATTATTGACATTTCATGTTGATTCACAATAATTTTGTGCAATTTTTATAATCACAGTTTTTTACAGCAAAACAGAATGCTTTTATATATGATTTTCTATTTTTTTTTATTGATACAGTGAAGAAACAGCAGTTTTCATGAAGATTTTTGCTTAGTTCTGATTAGTATTTATTATTTGTAAATTAGAAGGTAAACAATATTCACATATATCAGTTTTATTGAGTTTTCAATGTAACTAAACTGTAAGACTGGTTTAAAAACCCTATTTCTTTTCAATTGCCCCTTTGTTCCTAGTATGGTATTCACCTAAGATTTTTATCTAACCTCCAATAACTTTCTAAGCTAAGTAGACTGTTATTTACTATCGTTATTGGGACTTAATGTCAAAATTAAAGTTTAAAAAATGTTTATTTTGATGTTTCGATTTCCACTTCAGAAAATGTTCTTTTGAATTTGTATTTTGAGAAAGATTTCTGAAGTGGAACTGGAAAAATCAAAATATACCTTTTTTAAACTGAAATTGTGGTTAATTCCCATTAAAGATAGTAAATAATAAATAAAATAGCTTCAGAACAATATTAAGTAGACTAAATTATTTGGATACAGTTCTGTTTGTTTGTTGTTATTATTGTATATAATTATAAGGATTTGTTTTTTACTATTCATTACCCTATATGGTACTTATATCAAATCCTTTGAAATTTATCCATATTATGAGTTCTGAAAATGTACTTCTCTTTTATCGATTATGGAGTAACATTTTTTATAAAATATTTTACTGCCAGTATTAGCAGATTAGAACTTTCTTGACTGGTTCCTCCATCAAAACTAATATGAATTAAAATATGAACTTCCAAATTAGCCAATATAGCTGGCCTTTGGCAGTATATGTACAGAACGCTTGGTTGAAAACTATTTAAGACTGGGATATAGTAGTTTGGCCTAAAATCTAGTTTGGTTTGGAACATCTACAAAGCAAATGTACAAAAATAAAAAATGAATCTTTACCTATACACTCCTCATGCATTAATTTGCTTTTGCAAAACAAATGTGGTTCAAACTTTATTTACAACTATAAAATGAGCATGCAACGGTTCTTTTTGCTTACTCTTTAACGACAAAAAAAGGATCCTCTAACGTCATATCAAATTAATGAAGACAGCAAAAGCAAGTTTGCCACTTGCAACGAAATATGTAGGTACAAAACATGTGAGAAAATTAAGAAAAACACATTGGTTTGATCCTCAATTCATTTGCAGTTAACTTAAATATATTAGCAATCAAATAAAACATTGTTCACAAATCAGATTGTTTTCGGAAATTTGACGTGCTAATTGACTTATGACTATGACAAATGACAAACATATAATATTTGATTAGTACTCTGAATACGTCAATAGGGTGCGTCTTTGACTGTGACGTCACAATTTCATTGGAAAAGGGAATAGGAAACCCTGAACACTACTGAACAGTGTAAGTCACTTATCCTCTGATATTCCCGGCCCTTACGGCCCGGGCATGCATCTATAATTTAGGTAACTACGCAGTTACTGTCTTTAGACCTTAATTTCAAAAGAATTTATACCCTTACCATGCGCAAGTGAAGCAACATTTTAGCGGCACTTTTTAAATTACATAGGTATAAAATCAATGTTGATAATGACTTAACAGAGTGGATTATGAGTTTCTCATCAAACAGGGTGAGACATGAGGAACTGTACACACTCCTATATACCTCGTATCGAGGTGGGAATAACAAATGACCATTAAAAGTGTTTGCTACCATTGTTTAATAATATACAGGGTGAGTCCTGAATTTTGACTGAAATTTCTATTTGTCATACATTTTGAACGGTAAGTTCGATGTGTCTCATACCTTACCAAACGTTAGACTACTACCTAATCAACTATTTTATTCAAACTGGAAAAAAATCAGGTACGGTAATAACAGTATCTACTTGGAAAATTTGTTCGTTTTGTTCGTAGCAAAACTTCCTGTATGCGGTTTTTGAAAACTCTAATAAGAATTTTATAAATTAGACAAATAGACAACTAAAATGCAATATTTATTTTTTTCCTCGCACTGTCACTTAATTTTTAATAAAAAAATTAAATTTGACTATGAATTAAAAGTTTAGCAAAATAAACCATCGATGTAAAAAAACTTACCTTTTCTGCAAACATTAATTTTTTTTTGAACAAATATTTAATTTTACATTTAACAAAGAAACCGGACCTGATTCAGAGTGAAAAAAATCAGGTCCGATTTATGAGCCCCCATGACCATGACTATCCATGCATATAATGATCCGCTTCAGTTCGAGCACCCTCATGATACAAAAAGAAACATTTTGTTGAAACATTAAGTGTTGGAATGAGATAAACGAAAGAATAAAAACGTTGGAACAATTTTATGAAAAATTGATACCAGTTCTACTAAACATAATTATCACAAAATAAAAGCTTATTTTAGGAGATCTTAATGTACAGGAATGGGAAATGCCAACAACAGTTGGCAAATATGGAGAAAATACTCAAAGGGATACTGGTCAAAGATTGATAGATTTATGGATGGTTTCTTCCAACACAAATCTATTGATAAATATACGTGGTATCAACCACATAAAAATCAGAAAAGCATTATTAACTATGTGATTCAAACGCAAAAATCACAGTTAATAATTAACGACTTAAGGGTACCTACTAGTTGATCCGGTGTGGATCAAACCATTTTCTGGTAAAGACCAATACATACATTGCGTATCGAAAACAACATAACAAAGGTAGCCAACATCGAAAAGAAGAAAAGCTCAAAGCATCCAAATACAATTTACACAGTCTGCTAAGTCAGTACAGTTTCTATATAAATGGAGAATGGTTGCAAAAATAAATAACATTGAAGAGGGAGATTTTATACGAGGAAAAGAATCAATTCACAGTGCAGTAAAGGAATCACTAGGAAAAGAGGAAAAAAAAGGAACACCCAGAATGGTGGTCAGAAGAATTAGTATAGTGATAGAAGACAAACGAAAGCATATCAAATGTGATTAGTTTCACAAGACGGAAAAGATAGAGAAATATATGCTTGGTGAAAAATAGACGTGAAAACAAATGTATCGAAAAGAAAAAAATCACATATTGTACAGCAACTGCTCCTAAATAGGCAGTATATGGGAGGAACAAGAGTATCCGAAGCCTGGAAAACACTAAAGAGTTAAAGAAAAAATAAATAATTTTCCACTAATGTAACGATAATAAAAACGGAAGAATGATAAGAGCATTACAAAAATTGGCTAACTGACGACAGACCAAAATTTATGGTAAGAAACTTTGACAAGAAACAATTTATGACTTTGACATTAAGGAAATACAGAAAAACTAGAAATAATTTCCTAAAAAAAAAAAAAATTAAAATGATCTAAAAGATATGAAAAACCAGGAGGCAAACCTAAAGCTGATAAAATATAGTTCAGATCAGCTAATCGAAAAAATGGCAGATATCTTTAATAAAAGTCTTATGAATGAGCCAAAAGATTGTCAGATATAATTTATCAGATCAATTTATTGTGTATATTAAATATCTTAATTGTTATTGTTCAACCTTTGTTAATTAATGTTAATTCATAAAAATCGCGCTACCACTTAAAGTCCGACAATTTTCATTTAAAGTTGGCTAATCTACCAATTGAACTAAGAGTTAACGGCAACCATGGTAAATGTCAAAAGTAAATTCTTACCGGGGTCATTTTTATTGTTTATGATTTGCCGATAAGTGAAAAAGATAGTCCCATAAAATTTGAACCCATAACAATATAAATTGGTGCGATTCACGAGCGTATAGTTAGACAAGTTCATTAAATAATTTAAAACACATTTCGATGGTCTATATTTATATATATATATATATATATATATATATATATATATATATATATATATATATATAGAGAAATATATATATATATATATATATATATATATATATATATATATATATATATAGATAAATATGATGTTTTAGTTTATCCGTTCCACATTATACATATATGTGCATAGGCATAGTGTGGTCTATTTCTTGAGAATATATTTATTAAAAATAGACTTTATTAACCTTAAAATAGTTTTGAGGTAAGTAAAGTAAATTTGAGGTAAGTTTATTCTTTTTATAGTATTTAACCATTAACGGACGATACAATAAACAAAAAGAAATTTGACAATAAATTTATTAGATTGTCATTAAGTGAGACAGGATTTTCACCATCTGAGTCTTCTTCTAACAAAGCTATTAACTCTTTAGTAGTTAGTGCCATCTTTATTTCATATTTCGAGAATTTACTGAAATAAACAAATGCATTACTATATACACGCATATACATAATAATAGTTTAACTTACTTCATTTTAATTTATATAGAATATAAAACAAATAAACACAGGAAAACTGTTAAATGAAGTTAAAAAAAACAACTGTAATATTTATAGCACATAGCAATTAGAGAATAAATAGAGAATGAAGTGTAATGATGAGATCCTATGTTAAAATTTTAGATTGTTTAGTCTAATGAAAAAATTAGTGATTTCCAAAGTTTTCTGTTTTTTGAAGCTCTGTATTAGGCACTCCCTAATAAGAATAAAATTTTACTTTAATTTGATAGACAACTATAAGGTACCTGTTAAAAGACACATGATAATTTAACAATTATCATGTGTCATATTTATTAATAATAAATTAGATTTAATTTTTACGTAATTACTTGTGTTTAAATAAATAATTAAAATTTTTGTTGGTGCGTCTCTGCAAAATTGATAAATGGAATATTATTTCGTTGCTAAGTTATCGTTAAGTGCTTCTTTAAGTGCGATGTTGCCAATTGATCACCTCCAATTAAAAATTGTTTTAGATTAGTGGATTTTTTATCATGACCGTTATTAGGGGCTTTAAGGGTTATATTAACAATTATAGGTCTAATTAAATGGTTTTATTTATACAGCACTAATTGGGGTACTAATTATAAGATTAATTATATATAATGATGAGATATTATTCGAGAAGGTACTTATCAACGACTTCATACTCTTCTAGTTACTAAAGAATTACGATGAGGTATAATTCTATCAGAAGTATTATTTTTATATTATTTTTTTTGAAGATTTTTCTATAGACTAGCCCTAAGTATTAAACTAGGAATATTATTACCCGCCATAAGAATTTCAATCTAGATTTTTGGATGTAAATTATTTTTATTGAGGAATAGATTTAATTGCAGCATCATTAATGCAATTTATTAGAAAATTATAATTTCATAGGTATTGAGGGAGTTACTGTTGTTAGAAAACATGTTTTCAATTAAGGATGTATACAGGGACGAATTGGCCTTTTTTATATTCTATTTGCTTTACAGTTTACTATTTCAATTAATCAAGGCCGTACTGTCTCTATATAATATATATCCTGTATTTAAGCGCCACACGCCCTTCCGGTAGGGATCTATGGAGGAGTATCACCAAGCCGCAAGCCCTTATCTCTTGCCGTACTGCTCCACCATAGGCCGATCAGACACCAGCATATTCTAGTCTAAACCGCAGATTCATTTAGAATTTTAAGCTGCTGCGTTAGCCTTTTTGGTTTCTGTACACTGAGCTGGGGAATTAACTCACATCCGCTGAACCACTAGCAGTAAAGCGAGTGAGAATCCGGCCGCCCAGCCCGCTTGGCTATCTGACCGACTATAAAAAAAATGTGTCATTAAAAGGACATTAAGATCAAAAACGGATTATACAAATAATTATTTCATTTCCACGAATTGTAAACAATTTTGAACAGAAGATATAATTCCGAAAATACCAGATTTCCGAAATATAACTTTCTATTTTTAAAATACCAACAGAAAAAATTATATAATTAAAAAAATGTAGTATTTTTCCGTTTCACATTCATAAATATTTCCGAAATTATAATTCTTTTATAGGAGCCGGCCCATAACGTACGATTGTAGGTATGATTAAAAACTGACAACAATGTAGTTATTTCTGGCATATAGAAAGTACAGGCCTATCTCTGTAACGCTGCCATCTGAATGTGAATTTATCTTTAGTTATTAATATAAGTGAATATTTAACATTCCTGGATTTCTTCCGTTGCTG